TGGTGATGAATAATTGTTTATTTGCTTTATTAAAATTAAATAAATGCTTAATATGTACTGACTATAACATCATATCTTGGAATTGTTTTATTTTAAAAAAGTTTTTATAAAGATTACTAAGTGTCAATTGATTATTCTAAAAACATTTATTTTGTAGAAAAATTTTCAAGTTTATATTTTTGGAAAGAAGGGCAGTATATAGTATTTCTGAAATGAAAAAGAAATACTGGCTAAATACATTCATTGTAGCTGAAGGCTACTTATTCATTATTATTAATATGGCAATTTATAACTTATGCAAATGATTGCCATAACATTTCCATTTTCTGTTAAAATACTGCTGGTATATTAGGTTTAATATCAATAAATTATTCAGGAAATTAATTATTGAAGTTGCTGACCCCATCTAAATATTCTATGTGGCATTATTGCATTGTGATCTTTATAGTTAATATGTAAAAACGTCTTGGGAGAGAAGTGTAAATAAATTGATAAATAAAATTTAAATATTTCATTTAATAAGCTTTATAATTCTATTAAATGGAAATTTTCAAGAGATGCCTTAGTTAATGAATAATGATTAGAAAATGTGTTCATTTTTTTTTCTGTACGTGTAGGAAAACAAAATGCAAATTTCTTTTCTAACCATTTTTCAATCAATTTTTTTTAATAAAAAATTTTTCAACTAATTAATTTATTTATGTAACAAGTAATAATACAAATTGAAATAATTATTTACAAACATTAACAAATCATGTTTATATTAAAGTTTTATTAATTCTAATACTTTTTACCTAGATTAGTGCATAATTTCTGTGAAAGAAATTAATTTCTTTGAAAATAAATATTTAGTCATTTAAGTTATTCTGGCATAATGTTTTACATTTTAGATATAATTTGAAAGGCACAATTCTTTAAAATGGATTCAAAAAATAATAATGATTATTATTATTATTATTTTAGATTTAGGAAAAATTTTTAAGAAAACTTTTAAATTTCTGTTGGAGTGGCTTTTTTTTTATAAACTGTGAAAAATATACTTATTAAATATTTTTGATTTTAATTTATTACTGGCTGTTCGATAGCTCAGTCACAAAAATAAATTCAAATAAAAACGTGGACTGTATAAATTAATTTCCTTTATTTAGGCAGCCATCAAGCTCGAAGATGGACTGCCACGCGCAACCTTCCCGTTGGTTACACTTATTGAACTCTTTTACTTATGCAGCCATCAAGCTCGAATATGCACTACCACACGACCATTCTCTTTGGTCGTAGTTGTTCAACACAGTTTATGCGGCCATCAAGCTCGAAGATGCACTGCCACACAACCTTTCTCTTTGGTCGCTGAGTTTCAACTCCTTTCTTTACTCTTTCTCCCGTCATCTCACCCCCTGCCAGACACCCCCACAGACAGGATGTTTTTCTGGACATAGGGCGTTGACTTCCCCTATGGGTTTCGACGTAACACTGGCCTTAAAATGAAGTGAAAATTTTACTTTTTGTTTCCATGCACTACATGAATAATGTTTGCTTATTATTTTGTGTAGGGAATATGAATAGATAAAATATTTGCATATATATATATATTTGCTGGACAATAAAAGCCAATCTTATTTGAGCAGCAAATGTCTGATCTTTAAAATAAAAGAGTTTCTTTTTTCATGAAAATCATGTTTTGAGCATAGTCAATTTGACCTTAAACACCGAACTCTTTTTAGACGTCTTCCTTTCCCAGGTTCATTGTAAAACCAGAGCTAGTAAATGAATAACCAACGGCATAGGGAAAAAGTTCTAGTGCGATTATAATAAAATCATTTATTATTGAGCACAAATGGTTATGCTATTATTTATTATTACACTATAAATAAAAAAAGATGGAGAGAAAGATAAATATAAATTAACCAATTAAAATGTTCTTTTTTTATTGAACGTACATGTAATATCAAAAAAAGCTTTTCTGTGTTTTCTGGCAAAATATAAGACATAACAGTTTAATTCAAAAAATATTACTCATGTTTCATATATATAGATATCAAAATATAAAGATTCATGTGTTAACGTACTCGAGCAGATTCATGTAATTGCAAATATAAATTAAATCAAACTATACTATAATTTAATTTAAATTCATAGAAATTTATATACATCTCAACTTTAAATGTTTAGGTTTTTCGATAATGGCGGATGTAGTAGGGAAAATACCGAAATCGAAGAGTATTCGTCGACGTATAAAAAAATCAAAAAGCCGTAAACGCAACTTTCATTTAATTAAACGGGATGTTGAAAATGACGAAATGCATGATTCCAAAACCAATAACAAGAGAAATTCACCACAGCTAGATATTAAGAGCAAATCATATGATCACAGTGAAAGAAAGCAAGAAATAAACAAGCATTTTTCTAATATTTCAGAAGATCGGTCTGTTTCTTTTCGATCACGTGTTAATCAACGTTTTGGAACATCATCTCATTATCCCAGATCATTCCACGACGATAGACTGTCCGGTAATAATTGCGATACAAATATGCATATCCCTTTGCCTCGTGATGAAGATCGTGAGATTGGCGATAAACGTTTTGTCTCTTTCAATCAAAGTACTTTTTCTCATGATGATGAATTTGTTGCTAGTTTATTGGAGAAGATAGATTACTTGAGAAATCAAGTAGATTTTCTTAACCAAGAAAGTATCCTTGAAGTTTTTAATTTATAAAAGTATATGAAGTGCTTATATTCATATATATATATTTTCCTTTTATAATATTAGTGAGCTGCGATATTTTTAAGCCTTGATTTAAACATTCTAAACCTTAGCCAATATTTCTATCACAAAACCACCCAATTCAGTCTTTTAATAGTTATTGAATATGAAGTAAATTATTAGTCAGAGATAATATTTGAAAATTCATTTACTGGTTTATTTTGAACATGTTTTTACACCAATAAAAGTTATTCTTGTGTAATTATCTATATTTAACTGTTCAAACAAATTTTTTAAAGTCAAAACTGTTGTCACAACATTTTTATGAATTATTTGAAAATCAAATTTATGTTTTTAAAAGTAAAAAAATTATAAAGCAGTTCAACATATAATTAAACAGAAAGAAATCTCACAAAAAATGTATTCATTGATTTTAATCAGTTTAAGAATAAGTGTGCATTTCGTGATTTATCTTCCTTTAAATCTAAAAATGGCATGGGCCTACATTATTTAGGGTATATGGGTATACATTTATTTGATTCTCAATTTACTTTAATGAAATTTGTTAGTGAATGAAGATTTTTATTTCCAATGGCAGATTATGAACAGTTACAGCAAAAAAATAACAATGAGAAAGAAAAAAAAAGAAACACATAACAAAAAATAATACAACAAAACATGCTGAAACAGAGTTCATTAATCTAACAAAAATGGCAAGTTGCTGGTCTTTTAGCCACTATAAAGTGTTACCAGGTGCACCACGGGAGGTAGATCTGTGCACCCATGAATGAAGATTGATATAACTATTTAAATAAAATATACTAAGAATGCAAACGAAACTAAGATGGTTTTATATATATCAATAATGTTCATGTGGCTTGCAAACTGCACTTTATTGACGATTTTAACAGTTGAATGCACATAACAATTATAATAAACTATATTAAAAATTATTTTTATTTGTTTAACTTATTGAAATATCAGCATAATTTTTTTTTATCTTTATAATGCAAAAATTGTAGTGCTTCATGATCAAATCAATATAAATTTTCAATGTTAAGATTGATATACATAAAAAACCAAAATTTTAATTATTTCTTTTATTTTATATCTATTTTTATTGAATAATTATTAAAATCTGAAACTTAAGATGTTTTATTTTCCAAATATTTTTATTTTATTAACTTTGACATATTTTACTGTCAAATGATTTATATTGAATTATTTCAGGATAATTAAATTTCTTATATATTTAAGAAATGAATTATTTTGAAAAATTCATGTGTAGCCTATATATTTCTGATGAATTAAACAAAAAGAGAGCATTTTTAAATCTGTTTTCTTAATACTGAGCTTTATTTATCTGATCTTGATAATGTTTAATTAAAAAAATATAAATATTCTGAAATTTCTTATGTAACTTATATTTTTTTTTCTAAACAAGCCTTAATTGTCTCAGATGAAAGATTAAAATTTGGTTTTACTGAAATGAGGAACAATGATTTAAGTACTGAAGTCAATATATCTTTCCTAAACAAAGAATTGGAAGAGTATGTATGCTTTGCCTTCTAACAAACAATAACATTTAAAGCCTTAAAAGTATCCAGTATGTAATAATTTTAACTCTGAAATAAATAAATACAGTTTTTTATTATGGCATATAAAAAGTCACAAAGCTAAATCAACTAAGTTTTTTTAAGCTTACATTTCTGTTATGTTTATTTATTTATTCATATTGGATTCTATTTTTGCAGAAGATTCGTACCTATTTTAAGTGAGTTAGCAACCGATTTGATTCAAGGCCATATTTCTGTATGTGATTTGAGAGCTTTCTTATCAACTAAAAAAAATTCTTTTAATGGTGCGGAGGATTTCCGAGAACTACCTGAGGTTTGAATATTTTCTAGTCGTTATTATATAATCTATGAAAACTTGTAAAAGAGCTGCCTTTTATGATGTTAGGTGTTATACATTTGGTTCTTAAAAAATGTGGATGGTCGTTCGTAATTCCTTTAGAATCACCAGTAATAATAGGTGATCAATAATGGGCAAATCTTTATGTGTGTATGCATGTATGTATAAATGTTTATATTTCCTGACAAAGTGCTTTAACACCATGCCATCATATAGTTGACTATTTCTAGTTTTGATGGACAGTATGGTTGCCATAAAAGATTGTGTTCTCTTTTATATGCTATTTGAATTATTTGGTGCTTGCTAATTTGACATGTAAGCCTGAAATAGATGCTGGAACATACTCAGAAATATCCTTGTATCATGTATATTTAATGAAGCCATCAGCCATACCATGCTGAATATATACCGGTTCTCGTTCGATCACCGATGTCAAGCATCATCGTGCGCGGTCAGTACTTGGGAGGGTGACCACCTGGGAACCCCGCGTGCCGTTTACATTCAAAATTGGGGCCTGAATGGCCGAGTGTCTAGCGCTCGGTGCCACAGGTTTCGGGTTCAAGTCCTGGCGGTGCCATGGATGTTTGTAGTGGTTCGGAATCCACTTTAAGCCGTAGGTCCCGGTCTTATAGGACCGTAGAGCGTCACAGAGCCCATTCAAAGTTCTCGCCCACATCATTCCCAAACTGTATAGGGGCAATTCAGTTTTAGGCACAGTCACGGAGCAAAAGTCAGGCTTCAACCTACGGGTGTTCCATCATAACAGAAGCTGCTTCCTTCCCCTTCAATCATGAGTACATGTGGGCTTGGCCCAGAAATGTTTGCCAAGTGGGATAAGAAACAACAAACAATATTTAATGAATAATTCGAGATTTGTTTTTTATGTTCATGTATTGTATTCTTTACTTTTAAGGTGTGATTAGTGTAACAGCTGTTAGTGCTCTAACCATACTAGTTAGATATAATTCTCTTATTGTTTCCTTAAATTGTTTTTCAATTATTTGACATTTTCACTTTTATTTTATTATTTATAATGAATATTTCAATATTCACCAAGTTTCAATGACTTTAAAAGAAGTAAAATGTTTAAGCAAAACTCTTGATATTAACTCTATTTTCCCATAGTTTGCAATTTCCATAATTTCTGCACACTGTGGAAGTTTTCTCTCTTCCAAGAAATTGTAAATCACTCTACCAATATCCATAAAGGCATTCCACTTTCTCATGCTGTTAATTAATGAGTACAACACAATGGGCAATAAATCTTTTTAAGTCGAATATAATATAAGTCGAATACTGATAGGTTTACAACAGATGGTAATTCTACTTAGATTGTAGTTAGTCAATCAATCACATGCTTAATTGCCATATTTTTACAAACAGTCCTAGATTATATCACATGACTCCCCTTTTTGTCTTATAAAACAGGTTAGCAACTGGCAATTTATTTTCAATTTTACAGCTTGCAAGGTCTGCACATAAGGCTATCGAAATGCATCATTTAGATACATCATCAGATATCTCAGCCTTCAATCCAGTCATCTAACGAGCACAAATTACATGGTTTAAAATGTCCTGAGGCTTAGATATTTCTAGATAAATATATCCTCTAGATATAATTATTTTTCTGTGGGTTTACTAATTTTTGAATTTTACGAATTTCTTTGACAAATATTTTTAACATCTTGTCATTGTATATTCATTTCAATTTTTAGGGGTTTTTTTTTTTTTCTGCCAATGCAGTTTTTGTCATTCAGCAATTCAATTCTTCATCAAAAAAATAAATGAATAAATAAAGTGATGTAGAAAAATGTAACTTTGAAAATAAATAGTTTCTGTTTTAGTCCAACGAAAAGATTTGTAATGTTGTTATTCATAAAACTTTATCATGATGATCATTATGTTCATCTATCTAAAATTATTCAGCTTTTATTATTATTCATCAAAATATTAATTATTTTCAATATTATTAGATTCTATAATAATGTGAGTTTCATAAAAAACTTTATCACATTTTACATTTATACAGCATTCAAAATTTTGCCAATTCAGTTGCTTTATTTATATATTTTATTTCATTATTATTATTTTTAATTATCTGCATAGTCAAATAATAATTCTTAAAATAAGAGCATGTTTTCTGTTAGTTTTGAAGAAAACATCGAAAGGAAGAAATTAAAATTATGTAAAAATAAAGGAAAGATAAAGGATTTTCCAATTATGGTTTATTATCACAAATCTGTATGCATGTGAATAATTACTTTTATAAAATAGATTAAAAAATTTTTAAAAAAAAATAAGATATTAAATGTAGAAAAAAAAACAAAAACATTCTGTATCATAACTTAAAAAACATAGTTGAAAAATACTCTCAGAAATTTTTATTTTCTGTTTTTTACATTTTCAATATATTTTCTTATTTTGAAATTCATTAATAAATTAATTTCATAGACATATATTCAATCTAGGAATCTTTATTTGCTCTGGATAATTCAACATCAGAAATAAAAGAAGATCCCCATGTTCCTGTGTAAGTTTTATATTCAATTATATATGCTGGTTACAAAATGTTAAAAGATCAAGTAAGTTATATGTTTTTCATTTTTAAAAACAATATTATTACAACTAGAAAACATGTCATTGTAACATAAAATTTATTTTGTCATAGTAAGTGCGATGTAATATATATATATATTTGAAAGCTTGCTAGATAATTTATTATTTAACATTTTCCTTGAATTTATTAATGATCATTTGAAAAAATGATAAAGTAAACACTGGATTTTATTTATTGTTTTTTTTTATAGGTATGAAACAAGTTTTTCCGAAATCTTAGAGACAGAAGAGGATAAGAATGAATCCGAAGCACAGAAAAGGTGAAATAGATTCTTCTATATATTGATAATGCAATTCATTTATAATGATAAAAAGTATAAAAATTTTGTTTTATAATGAATGTTGATTTAAAAATATTTAGTAGTTAGTAGTATTTATTTATTTATTTTAGTGCTTCAAAAAAACGATTTAGAAGATCGTGCTATAATTGTTCTGAAGATCATGTTATAAGTCAATGTCCATATAAAATAGATTATTATAAAGTAGCAAATTGTAAAAAACAAGCAAAAAAGCAGCAAGCAGCTTCTTCAACGTAAGTAATGTTGCTATTTATGTTTTTTTAAAAAGTTATTTAAAGTAAATATTTTTCCTGTAATTTTTACAGTAAACAGATTGAATAATTATTTAGTTTTTACCTTTTGTTTATAACTTTTCATGTCTAGCTCATAAAAAAAAAAAAATTTAATATATAATTAAATTTTAAATTCAAAATTTTTATTTTTCTCTAAGAAAGTATGACTTTACTTACGAAAGAGATACTTTATTTTGTCATCATATATTAAATATTTTACATTATTTCTATGTAATTTTTTAATATTTTTATTATCATGGTTTTGGTTTAATGCATCATAAAATATGCATAATTATTTATGTAATTTATTTTTATTTCTTACACTATTTAATTCTTCTGTTAGAATGCAGTGTCCGTCCTTTTTATATTAATGTATTATTTTCATAGAAATTTTATATACAGATATGATTTAAAATAAAAATTTTAAATTCAATTTTTAGGCGTTATCACCTACAAGAGTCAGGTGGATCAGATTTTAAGCCTGGAATTATAAGGTATAGAAATTTTTTCCTTGTTTTTTTTTTTTAATTGTGATATTTGTTTTTTAATAAGCATTTCCCATTCAGACACATTAGTTTTCCTTTACTAATCAGATTACACATTCAAAATTTTTATTTTCTTATTTATATACATTCAATTCATAAAATTTTAAATCTGAAGCAATAGCTCTATAAAAATTTGCCTTACTATCAAAATCCTTTTCATTAATAAAAATTATAAATGAATTATTTAAATAGCTCTGTTGTATCTTATTAAAAGTACAGTAACCTCTCTTTAATCTGGCATTCCAATGTTCAGCACTTTCTGTAATCCAGCATTGATGCAATATTCTGTTTTCAATTTTTTTTTCATATGGATGCTTGTTGATATTTTTGAACATATGGATTTGGGCATTAGTTGAAAAGCAGCATTTTTATTGTCATCTGATGATGCAATATTTTTTTCTGGCATTTTCATATGGTGTTTGTAACTTTGGTTTCAGTACAGTGTTTCTTGCTTAATATGTACATGTTTTTATTATTTAAATTTTTATCTGATGTGCTTTATCTTTGATATCCCCTTTAAAAAGTGCATTGATGCTTGATAATCCAGCAAGGCCATAATCTCTACATGTTAAATTCAAGAGAGATTACTGTAGCTAAAATGACATTAGTATTTTATATTGATGTAAAATGCTACTTTCCCTATAATTTTGCTATAATTATATATGGAAGCTAGAGATATATATCAATTGTAAAAAAATTCGAATTAGGTAATGACTTGTTATAAACAACAAAACAAGTAACAAGTGTTAAGTACAACAAATATTTAAAATATTATTTATTTTTATAAGTTATATATTTCCTCACTAATTAAAAAAAAATTTGTTTTTATTTATGTTTTTTTATTATTATTATTATTTTTTTTTTTTTAGTGATACATTAAGAGAGGCTCTAGGTTTAAGACCAAATCAGATTCCTCTTTATATTTATCGTATGAGACTTATTAGTTACCCCCCTGGTTGGTTGGAAGAAGCAACAGTGGAAACTTCTGGTATCAATGTCTATGATTCTAAAGGTTATGGTAGGTTTTCTTAATATTTTTTTGTCAGTCATTTTAATAGTGAAAAATAGCCTAGTGTTTTTTTCTTAAATTAGTAATGTACTTTTTTTTTTTTTTTATCATTAATATTCTTTCTTACTGTTGCATCATTGTAAATTATGATATGCATATTATAATGTTGCTATAATTATTATATGCTGTGAAATATTTGAAAAATATGTTGTATCTAGCCAGGAAAATTATTAAAGTATTTTTGCATAACTTAATACCAAATCTAAATGCTGTTTTGAAGCACATTTTTACTATCATGGTTAAAAGATAAATAAAAAAAAATTGATTTTAATTATTGATATCTATATTTAAAGACTTTAATACACGTATTATAAATTTTATTTTTTGAAAATTAACTTTTAAGTTATATTTTTATTTCTAGTTTTTGAAAAATGAAAAAGATGAAATGGATATACATAATATGAATGGACCCAGAGGTAAATTCATTTCAGCTATTATTATTTTTTAACTTCTTTTCTCCATTTTTTCTCTAATGCTGTATAATTTATTTTTAATATAGCAAAGAAATAAAGTTTGCAACCGGAAAACTATAGCAGGCAATAAAGCTGCTGTTATTCATTAGATTTTTATGAAATTTGTTTATGATATTATTGGTTAATAAGTGTATATCTGATTTAACTTTAATGTAAAATGATATGTACTTCTTGGTAATTGCTTTTCATTACCAGGTTAATTGATTTTTAATATAAAAAAAA